AAATTCTATTGATTAACACTTTGAGGACTTGTTTAATTTTTTATTAAATACTAAAACGTGAAGGAAGAACAGAAACGCGTATCGTATAAAATGATTGAATTCTTGGTCCGATATCAGGAATTTATTCGGTAGCAGATGAAGTGAGAACTAACATTAAGGGATTAAAATTCGCGTAGAGCGAAAAATTTTGCACGCGGAACACGTTTCTAAAATATCATCTTCGAACATCTACTTTTCCTCCGCGTGCATGTACGCATGAGGTATCCTTTGATTCATGTGGAAATACGCGCGTAATTTTGAAACGAAAATAAATATGCAAGAAAGTATTTGATCCTCGATGCAAATGGACTCTTTGATATCGGATAAAAAGGTTGGTTATAAAATATTGAAGATACGGACGGTCAGATAATGTGGCGCCATGTTGACTCCCGTTATGTTCCAAAGATTCGACTGTAGCTGCTGCATCCTCTTCTGGTCCTTTTCCTTCTGCGTGTCTGCAAATTTCACGACCAGCGGCGACGAGCATCCCTAGACGAGACAAATTTAAATAATAAATGTACGACGCTGTGCGTTAAATGATGGTTCATAAAAATTTCTGTACTTATGAAGCATCAAATAATGTTCAAATGTTAATTTATTACGCTATTTGATTTGTGCGGAACAGTTACCCTGTCGTGACTATTTCTAGCTCGGTATTATTATTAGCGATTAATCTTAGGTGACGATTTTCGTTGGCCTACTTATTTTAACACCAATTGGAATATGAAGCTCAGCACGTGAATAGATGGTCGGATATTTCAGTAGTTCGATTAACGAGACTAATTGTTCCTAATTTAGGAACAGTTACCTGAGAATGTACATTAGTGTGACTCCCATTAATATTCATATACATTCCAAAATAGAATGACTCTTTTAATATTGAATCAAACAACTTCATTTTTTTTTAGGATGTCATGAAACCTGATTCATTATACAATATGTAATAAAAAATTTAAAAAAATGAAATATGGAATGAAAAAGTAAAGTTCGTAATTTTTAACTGTTTTATTAGGGCCTGCAATAAAAATTTGAAATACCCCTTTGTAGATGTAATATGTACGTACAATGTTTCATAAAAATTGGTGAAAATATGAAAAAGTTAGACAAATTGAAACATGTATAAATTCTCTCTGAAATAATAAAATCTAGTTCCCTTCGTTCTTTTGTGTCTAGGCGATTAAATGCGTGATTTAAAAAATCGCATTTCTGAAAATAAATCAAGCCATTAAAGGGGTTTACAGATCGCAGTATGAAGTCATAATAATTAATAACCAACGGAAGATATAATGGTATATTGTTGCTCTGAATCGCAGATCATAAAAGGAAACACGGGGCTGTTTACGTGGGTAATAGGAAGCACGAAATCGTGCCAGTTCAGTCGACCACGACGAGCAAGTTCGAGGAACCCGGGCCGGGAAATATTCATGATATCAAAATGGAATTGCTGTCGTAGCCGCGTGCCTTGGCACGATTTGCTTTCACCGGTTGAAATAGGTGCATCGCATAGGCGTGTTAGCGTTCGAGGGAAAGGGAGGAAACAATTCCGCAGAGTGTGTGGAATTCGCTTTAGAGAGTGCACCCGCCATTATACTTGCATCGAATTGCCTGATACTTCCGCTGAAACTTTTATTAGATCCGCATGGAATAGCAACCGAGGGACGGATTAAACATTAATTGGTAAGCAGGAGGAATCGTTCTATTTAGTCTGTGATGCACGATTTATCCGTCGAAATGGTTTCAGTTACAAATGCATTTGAAACTACATAATGCAACCATAATATTTAAAACGTAAAATCACTTAGGGATTCCAAATATTTATTTACCTGAATCTCTAAGAATTTCATGAGTTTTAAAATGTGCATTATCAAATGGATGAACATCAACTGCTATGTAGTAATTTTAGCTGAGCAGAATAAATCTAAAATATCGGCTAACAATTAACTGATGGTTAACTTTTAGAAATTTGCCTCGGGAAATATCGTGTTCCGCTGTCTATTACGCCTTTAATATGTCCTCCGTAAGGAAGCAGTGTAACTTGTCTTACGTTTGATGATGGATAGAACTTTGGCAAGGATGCAAAGTTTCTCCGAGGCTTTATATTATCAGGCACATCACGTTCGAGAAAATTAATCTCTAACAGAAATTACCCCTGACAGTAATTAAGTTGATTAAATGTGAAAATTAGTTTAATTAATCATTTTTTTATCGAAGCGCCATAAAACAAATAATTTAAACTCCATCGATTCTTAAAGAAAATTCTTAACTGACGAAATAATGACTCGAATCTTTCTTAATTTTATCTAAAGTACACAATTTTTTTATTATTCAGACATAATTGATGATCTGACGTTGTATAAACAATTAAGATATACGAGAATATTAGCTGCGATAAGCTTGTTGTTGAATTTTATCTACGTGTGTATAAAGATTACAGACTTTCAGTCAGAGGAGTCATTGGAACGAGGGTAAAACGAAAAAAGAATCGCAGCGGCGATTGCGAAAGCAGCTGTTAAAAGAATCCTGGCATGCGTTTCGAATCATCGAGGTGTCACCCCGTTCGGTGACTTTTTTTCGTACAACTTCAATCGTCGCCCGAGTTTAAATTAAGTGTACGAAGAATTAGGGGATGTCACTCTGAGTGATAATGACACAAGCCCAACGTCCGTCATGGAAAGAAGATCCAACCGAAACATATTTACCGAGCTTTCATTTTAACGAGGAAACGTTCTGTTCCGATAATATTATAAGTACTTAGTTGCAAAATGCAGCTTATCGAGACATATCAACATTCATTATTAATTAACAGGAAATTCGATTATCAAACAATCTATTCATATTTAAACAAAACAAAGACTAGCATAGCAGTGAATTTATATTCTTCACAAATGAATTGAAAAAAGGGTTATTTGGACCGAGCGTTGTAGGTTTAGTGTTAAGAAACATTATAGTGAATTGTCTTGTTCAGTAGAATAAAGCGAAGTTCGGTAACAACAGTGGCATTGTTACAGCCGTTTCGAGAACAAAAATAACAGAGACTGTCTGGCGCAAGTGTTAAGTATCAGAGATAGAAAAACGGCAATTGTGTATTTCAATACCGACTCACCTCCATCGTTTGCGAGTGATGAAGAGCTTTAATGGCGTTGATCGCGTATTGTTTACTAGCGAAGGTAACGAAGGCACAGGCTTTACTTTTTCCGGTGCTGTCCCTCAGCACCGAGCATTCCTCGATGGTTCCGTAGACACTGAACATGTTTCTAACATCATTTTCCGTGAACTTTTTCGACAGCATGCCAACGAACAGCTTGCGTTCTGGAAACAAAACATACAACCTCCGTTAGTACACTCATTGTTCATCCTCGCGCTCTCAATTAAATATTTATCGCAACAGGATTTCTCGTTCGGTAATTTCTTATTCAAGTCGCACGTGGTATAACGCTATTGCGACAACTACGATTCTCTTTTTACTATTTATCACATAATTAAAGAGTACAATGCGCGTAGGCGTATAGCACAACTATGAACATTTTGAAGATGACAGGTGACGAGAAGAGATGAAAGTGGCCGCGGTCAATATTTGTACAGGACCAAGAGAAAAGCCCCATCCAGGGAAAAGCCGCTTATGCAAATTCAGCATCGCATAGGGTCTCGTTGCACAGTGACGTAAAGTAGCCTCGCTGCATCTCTGAATATCTTTATCAGCCCTCTTTCGCCTTTCTCACCCCCATGATTCACCCACCGTTCTCTCGTATTCTATCCAGCATTTTATATATGTTATACATAGATACATACCCATATGCAGTGGACTTTTCAACATTTTTAAATTCATATTTGCATTCTATTAGAAAAGTGAAGTCTTTATTATATACGATACGAGAATAAATAAAGCGAGAGGAGAATTTAAAAGGGGAATTCGAAATTAAATTAGATTCGCCGAACATTTCAGAACGTAGATACAGACGACAGGAGTGTTTCCGGCAGGAAAATCCGTAAAATTCCCGGGCTCGACGTAAACCCATTCGCCGGATACGTAAAATTCAATCAAGAAAATTATTCGACTAATTCTTTAAACGATTTAATCGCAATCCCATGCACGGCCGATTGGCAAGATTTCAACGGGTCGCAACAATTGCAGCACGCGCGATCAATTCCGGGTTCTCTGTTAACCCCGTCTCTCTCGTTCCTTCGCCAAAGTCGATCACCCGTCCCGAGCCGAATTCGTTAACGGTACCTCGTTTCTTGGTTGCCTAACAAGCCGTGTTTCATCATCGAGTCTCTCGTCTCTCCCCCTCCCCCATGGTCGAAGCCTTTGACCGTCGAAAGAAATAATAAAACTGAAAATCAAGAGAACCGGCAATGGCCACGGCGAAAGGGGTCGGACGGGGTCGACAGAGAGCCTAGCCAGGGAAGAGGACAGGAAACGAGACGGGACGGAAACCCCGCACATATTCGTCGATTGCGCCGCAAACTCGTCCCCTGTTAACGATTTAATTACTTTCGTAACCTAACCGTATACCGGACCGCTCTCGCCACGCTCGCCCCCGTCGTCCCTACGCATCGTATCAGATTTTCCACGATGAAGCTCCACGGAGATTGGATTCGCTATACATATAGCCACGAATTATTTTCTACGAAAAAATTTCGAGCCCCGACGGATATCTCGTCTTCTACCCCCGTCGGTCTCCTTTGTCTGGCAGGGTCGGTCTGCATCAAAACTGTGGGCTTCACTGGAATGTTTATTAAATACCGAAGATGTTGCCTCGCTACGGGGATCTTGCTCGCTTGCTTTCGGCTCGGACCGAAATTGGAAGGGAAAAGGAAGGATCGGCTGATGGCGGAGCTTCATATTTACTGGTACAGACTGGAAGAATGCATTGAGTAGGTATAGTCTGTCCCACGCGAAACCGTTCCTGCGATACTTCCTTAGGTATTAATTTTAGGACAAACGCTTTATGAATCGGAGATTCTATAATATCTTGTTGGAAACTATTGTTAGATTGTACAATCTGTACGACGTGCAGTATCGGTAAATTTTGTAAGTATCGTTAGTGGGCTTCTAGGACCGACTGTACTTGCAGATGAATGGACGTAGCTGGGCAACGCGAGCGGGGTAAGGGGATGTTCTGGCGGAACGCACTGGATATCGTTGATTTAATTTAGTTGCAGTACTATCGAGTATCGGATAAGGATGTGGAAATACCGTGGAAATACTCCCATTTCCTCTGTCCATCCTTCTCCTGTCGCTTTATACGTATTATTTGGATTTCGTTTTTATTAAAAATCAGAGAGATTGCAATTACAAAAAAAAAGCAATATTCTATAGGAGTTCGTTAAAAAAAAAAAAAAACAACACGTTGTAGAATAGAATAAAAATGATGAAAACGGGTATGATTGGAAATATAATGTCACGTGTATTTTGAATATCTAATAGAAAACTGTATTAACTAGATACACGGAGAGTTTTGAAAAACGACGACCGGTGTTCGCCCGTTGCAATTTTTGCTCGCTATTCATTTGATCTTTGAATGAAACCCTCTGTGCGGCTGATCCATTCATTTTCCAATTAATTTAGAATCCGCAACGCGACGGATGTTTGTAAACAAAAATGGCACGAACCGATATTTTCTTGTTTTTCCCCCCTGTCGCCATACCGTTTTTCCGGTACTCTCGCCGAGCGTCCGAGCACGAAACCGTGCAAATGTTTGTAAATCAATTTTACCGTTTTATGTACACGCTGTTTGTTCCCCTAATTAAATCGCGTATTGCGTCTGCGGGATACCAGCCCGCGCGCGTTTCCTGTCGAATAAATTGGAAAAGGCGTACTCTCGAAATGCGATCGAAACGCGTGCATGAAAAATGAACGGGCGCTCTGTCAGTATCAGCCGTGCGCGCGAGACTAATTATTTCTCGCATTACGCAGCAAATATTAAAGAACGACGTTACACGCCGAAGTTGTTTGATTAAATTCGTCATTTTCGACACCGATGAACGCGATCAATTTTATTTATATTTGCATTTCCTTCATAGAACTGTCAATTATCTTTATCCATAATGGAACTACACATTTTGGTACACTCTGATATATTTTATGAGATACTCGTGCTCGTTTTCTGTCAATCATGAGAGAAGACAGGCTCGTTGCCTGAGACATGATTGAAAATTTGTTGTAGCCGGCTGAAATCGGCGAAGACCCGAGGAACGATTAAAACGTTCACCGCGCTAAACCACGGGTTTCCGGTGAATGTTACGAAAGATTAGATTTGCGTTACTCCTTGTTTCGTATTCGGCGAGTCGGCCCGACGTGGCACGGCAACAGGGCCTGGCACAGGGATATTCTTGGCCTCTTACCACCTTACTTCCGGGGGGCACCTCGCAGTACTTTGCCAGAATGAGAATTAACTTTGTTAATTTGATTCTCGGCTTGGCCACGTTCAAACTAATTGAATTTCGGGCCGAGTTCAGCTATGGTGTTGCTAAGCAGAACGACTGGCCCCGTGGCTTATGTGTAATATATCTCTGTCTGTATCTACACGTTTGCGTCTGCTAGATCTGCTGTAATGATAACTATACTGTATCCTGTGCTTACTGGATGGGGCTGAATCGATTAAATCAAAATCAAATAAAAGTCTAACTTCTGTCTGTTGAATCTGTACTCTCAGTTTTGTATATCGCTTTTTAAATGTGTCCCTTCTTGTTTAGAGAACATGATAATTTTTAATATACGTACTATATTTTTACATGTATGATTTTTTTTTCTCATTTGCTTGAATTGAGTATTTGGTATAAAACAATTTGAGGAAATGTTTATCCTTGTTTAAAGAATATGACAATTTTTAATATGTATACATACATACTACATTTGTACTTGTAAGATGTTTTGCCTTTCATCTGTTTGTATTGATTATTGAGTATAAAATAATTTGAGGAAGAAGTGTTCTATCGACGCGCCACGACTAAAGAAAAGAATTAGAAGCAGTATAATTTTCTACTTGGATTAGCGCTAATCCATCTTTTTGTTTTGTAAGCATGTTCCAGCGTTAATTAATTGACTATCACTGAAAAACATGTTCGTTAAACGACACGGGACAAGACAGTGTTTATCCTTTTGAAAAAAGAAGAGCTCAGGGACGGATCCCGTCTTCCTCGGGCGGTAAATCGTCCAATATCTGTTACACGAGCTTAAATGAGCTTACGCGTTCTCGTATGGGGAAGTCACGCTCGTAAACTCTCGTCTTCTCATAATTTATTCTCCCGGCAGGAGAAACCGCGATGCACGGAACACGAGACACGGGTTAGAACGGTGAAAAAAGTTCGCGTCGAAAGGTGCACCTGCCAACGACAGCGAGGGGTGAAACCGGCCATTAACGCGATTGTGTAATAATCTCGCGGCAACCCAGGTATTTTTAGCCCCGCTCGATTTACGACCATTAACCTTTCTGTCTTTCTCCTTCGCTTCGTTTAAGTACGCTCTTCTCTCCTCACCTTATTACATTCTATCAAATGTTTGTTACATAAAATATTTATTATAGTTTTTTTACAACGTTCTGTTGCAGCACTAAAATTTGTTCGTACATTTTATCTGAATTTGTATTTTACGCGAGTAGATAAAATTGACGTAACTGCAACCGTGTAATTTTTACGATGTTACAATTGTTCAGTAAAAATATTTCTAGTCTATTGACGAAACGAAAAGATCTTGCAATGAAAATCGAATTGCTGTCGCGAAAACCTGTTGACATTGAATGAAGACGTCCTCATGGGTGCCCCGTCCGATACGTCGAATCACGTACATGGTGTCGTTTGGGCACAGGTATGCGGCTCGTCATTAGTATGTCGGGAACCGTGCTAGCAGGATGTGACGTCAAAAAGTGGCAACGATTTATAGAGAGCGACGAATTCCGATTAGTGAAACGTTTCAGCTGCACGCAGCCATTGCCGCTCTGCCGACGACGACACGGATGCGACTGTAAATTTTCTTTTCATAAAACCGAACGTGACCAGAATTCCCTTCTTAGCATCTTCCGATCTTCCCTTTTTACAAATTCAACGCAAATGGGACTTGTGGCCCTTGCCGCGACGCAACTAGAGAGTGTTCAGAAAACGCGCGTCGTCTCATCAAATATAAACGAGTACTTATAATTTTTATGCGAAATTTTCCTAGCGCAAGGAAAACGAGCGTGGAAATAATCGAATTTATTTGACGATTAATTAATTTTACAGCTTATTTCCCTCGAGTTTAACATTTTTGCTTTGTTCATACAAGATTGTACAACATAAAATATATTTTGCAATATCCACGTTATTCTTGTAGA